GTCGCTGACTGTGTCTCTGTCAGTAAATGTGTGTGTCTGTTAGCTAGTGTGTATGTGTCTGTAAGTGTGTGTGTGTGTCTTCAGCACTTACCTTTCTCCAGCACCGGACTCCCTTGGCGCTGAGGATCCCTCAGCTCTCTCAGCTCCGAATGAGACCGCGCACGCATTCAAACCGCCCATAGGAAAGCATTACTCAATGCTTTCCTATGGACGTTCAGTGTGCTCCTCTGGCGGCTGTCAGTGAGACAGCCACTAGAGGCTGGATTAACCCTCAGTGAAACATAGCAGTTTCTCTGAAACTGCTATGTTTTCAGCTGCAGGGTTAAAACTAGAGGGACCTGACACCCAGACAACTTCATTGAGCTGATGTGATCTGGGTGTCTGTAGTGGTCCTTTAAAGGACCACTATAGTGCCAGGAAAACATACTCGTTTTCCTGGCACTATAGTGCCCTGAGGGTGCCCCCACCCTCAGGGACCCCCTCCCGCCCGGCTCTGGAAAGGGGAAAAGGGGTAAAACTTACCTTTTTCCAGCGCTGGGCGGAGAGCTCTCCTCCTCCGATCCTCCTCTTCTCCTCCCCGTCGGCTGAATGCGCACGCGCGGCAAGAGCTGCGCGCGCATTCAGCCGGTCACATAGGAAAGCATTCATAATGCTTTCCTATGGACGCTGGCGTGCTCTCACTGTGAAAATCACAGTGAGAAGCACGCAAGCGCCTCTAGCGACTGTCAATGAGACAGCCGCTAGAGGAAATAGGGGAAGGCTTAACCCATTCATAAACATAGCAGTTTCTCTGAAACTGCTATGTTTATAAAAAAGGGTTAACCTAGCTGAACCTGGCACCCAGACCACTTCATTAAGCTGAAGTGGTCTGGGTGCCTAGAGTGGTCCTTTAAGTGTGTGTGCATCTGCATGCACTGGCGTACATACCGCGGTCGCAGGGGTCGCAGCCCTGTAACCCCTGCGACCAGGTGCCCACCGCCATGTGTTGCGGCCCACGCGCGGGGGGGGGCCCACGGATCAATTTTCGCACTGGGGCCCCATGGGTCATGTGTACGCCACTGTTCACAGCAGCATTTTTTTTAACATAGTAACAGGGTAACCAATCAGAAAAAAGATAAGGTATAAAAGTCCCTCCCCGTGATGTCACTTCCTCTTTCTGGCTGCGAACAAACAGGAACAGCAAACGGTAAATGAACCAGATGAGAGTTTCAGAATGCCAGACGAGAAAGTTGATGCTTGAGAGAGAACAGGAAAGTAAACAAGTCCTCTTTGGAGAGCTGAGATGATGCTTGAGATGGAACTGCAACTAGACTTGTCCTCTTGAGGGAGCTTTACGCTGAGAGCAGAGTCGAAAACAAGGATTAATCTGTGAATTGGACTTCTAAAATTATGTCATCCAGTAGTTAGAGATCATATATTATAGCCCGGGGGAAAAACGAAAGTGAAGGGTGGGAAATACTCGCCTCCTGTCATTAATCAATCCCGGCCAGGGAGAGCAACCACCTAACCCATCGGGCAAGGGTCGTGGTTGACACCGGATTATGTGGTCGGACGTATGAGACCAATAATTGGCTGGAGGAGGTTGAATGGAGAGTGGAGGTGAGTAATAAATAACGAGAGAGAAGTGATACCACACACAATTTTGGATGGTTAGGGAAATAAAGGTAAAAGAGGAGTTCAATTTAGTCCGTCTGGACAAGGAAAACGTGACACCTTCTGGGGAAAAGTTGATAGCGTCATAGTCAAATGCTCGAACATTCGACATTCGTCGGAAAGACACTAAGCAAAGTAACAGGGTGACTTTTGCTGAGAGTTGACGAAGGAAGAGATCTTCGTTGCTCGGCCAAGCTTCTAGGAAACGAATCATGACATTAACGTCCCATAGATGGGGGTATTTCAGTGTTGGGGGGCGAGCCAGTTTAATGCCCCGTAATAGTCTACAAACCAGCGGATCCTGGCCAACTGGAGCTCTGTGTAGAGGAACATGGGCTGCCGAGATGGCCGACCGGGCAACGTTGATGGATCGGGAGGATTCAATATGAACTGTCTAGGGGCTGTAAGGGGATCGGTATTCCGTTCCAGGCACCAATTGCACCAAGCACCCCAGGAGGAAAGGTAGCTTCTTCTGGTTCCAGGGGCCCAAGAATCCCAGAGGAGTTCCTTAGATCTCTGCGATAACTCTCCGAAATTCCAGTTTCCCCTGAAAGAGTCCAAGCCACTAAGTGGAGGTGGCCTTGTATTATCATCGGATAAGGGTTTCCTTGAGGGTCCTCTAGGAGGTTGGGCCATGGAGGTAGAAGGAGGGGATGTTGACAGGAGAGGTCTAGTAGATCCGGGAACCATGCTTGGCCCTGCCAGAACGGGGTGAGTAGTACAAGCGTGACCCGTTGTCTGCGAATCTGGAGAAGGACTCTTGGAATCATCACAAATGGAGGGAAGGCGTAGGCTCCCGTCATCGGTCACTTCTGAAGGAAGGCATCTACTGCCGAGCATTCTGGGTCTGGTAGCCAGCTGAAGAACCGTGGGACCTGAAAATTTGTCCGGGAGGCGAACAGGTCCAGAATAAACGGACCACTGAGTTTGGAGACGTGGAAGAAAACTGATCTGTGTAGGCGCCAGTCGCTGCCATCTCTCCAATGTCGGGAGAACCAATCCGCGCTAATGTTTGTCTCCCCCGGGAGATATTCTGCCCGAAGTGTGATGTTGCGTTGGAAACAAAAATTGTAGATGTCCTTTGTCACTTCGGAGAGGGTGCAAGATCTGGCCCCACCCAATTTGTTGATGTATTGGACGGCTGAGATATTGTCCATTCAAGGAGAATACAACAGTCTGAGAGGTGATTGGCCAGACTGCGGATTGCAAATGAGCCTGCGATTAACTCCAGACAATTGATGTGGAGAAAGTGTTCTGCGGCGGTCCATGGTCCCCCGGTGGAGGTTGTATGACAAGTTGCGCCCCAGCCTTGGAGGCTCGCGTCTGATTCCACCACAAAGTCCGGAGTGGGGCTGAAAATTGCTTTGCCGTTCCAGGCAGACATGTGGCGGAGCCACCAGTAGAGTTCCTCCCTCACCTCGGTAGTGATCGGGACCCTATGGTTGTATGATGGATGGGTGTGGAGGAACTGAGCTTTCAAGCGTTTCATGGCCCGATAGTGAAGGGGACCTGGGTAGATTGTCTGAATGGAAGCAGAAAGCAGGCCTACGATCCGAGCTAAACCTCTGAGAGGTAGATCCACTTGTCGAAGCGTCTTGCGTAATTCCTTCCTGCTCGCAGTTAACTTGGATTGAGGCAGGCGAAGAACACAGGTGGAGGAGTCAATCTCGAAGCCGAGAAATTGTATGACTTGGGATGGGGACAGTGATGATTTCACTTGGTTGATGACAAACCCCAAGGATTCGATCAATGAGGATGTGTAGTTCGTCTGTGATCGCAGTCTGGATGCGGCGTCGAAGAGTAGCAAGAGATCGTTGAGGTAGATTAAGCAGCGAAAGCCCCTTGCTCGAAGATGTGCGGTGACTGGCTTGAGCAGTTTGGTTAAGCACCACGGAGCGGAAATCAGGCCGAATGGAAGGCAGGTGAATTTGAAAATCCGGTGGTGCCAAAGAAAGCGGAGAAAACCTCGACTGGATGGATGTGCTGGTACGGAGAGGTAAGCATCCTTGAGTTCAAGTCGGGTGAACAAATCGCCTGGTCGGAGAATATCTCTGAGGAGATGTATCCCTTCCATTTTGAAATGCCTGTATACCACGAAGGTATTCAATTGGCGAAGGTTGATTACCGGGCGGAATTCCCCTGATTTCTTTTTGACCAAGAAGATGGAACTGAGAAAGCCTTCGTCGTGTGGAGCGCGTTGAATCGCTCCTTTTGTTAGTAAGGAACGTAGTTCTGAATCGAGAAGGATACTCTGAGATTTTGACATTATCGGGTAATGAGGAGAACCTGTTTGAGTAGGGAAAGAATAAAACTCTATGGAATAACCCCGAACTGTGTTTAGAACCCAGGTATCTGAAAACAGCGTCTTCCACATGTCTACACAATGTAACAACCTGCCCGCATGATAAACCGTAGAAAGGTGAAAGGTAGGAAATCTCACCTGTTGGGTATCTGTTGCGTCCACTGGCTCTGCTTCCTCTTCCCCCATCCACCCTTTGGGTGTAGAAGCCCCTTGATTGATAGTTGGGGAAGAAGATGAAGTGGGGGGTCGCTGGCGTTGGCTAGGGGCCCAGAAACGGCTGACTGCACGACCCCTTGTACGGCCAGCCCTGCCAAAAACCTGTGAGGGTTGTTGATGAAATACTCTTTTCATGGATGACTGTGCCTTGTTCAGTGTGGCGTATAAGTTTACATGTTTGTGTAACTCTTTAATATAGGGTTCTCCGAATAACAGACCCTTGGCCTTGGGGCCCATTTCTTTGGTTCCCAAGTCGGTTAGTTTGGCATCCATGCGCAGCAGCACTGCTTTTCTACGCTCAGTACAGAGGGATGTATTTGCATTGCCCAGCAGGCAAATGGAGCGTAGTGCCCATTCTCTGATCTCAGATGGGTCTAAAGGACCCTCATTAGAGAGGGCTTCATCAGCCAGTAGTAGAATTTTCGCCAGGGGCCACAGGATATCTAACATCTTGTCCTGGGTGAGGCGTAGGCTGCGTTCAGTGCCCTTTTTTGGGTCACGGCCAGATCTGGCTAGATATGTGTAGAGGCCTAGGAGATTCAGCTCTTAGGCTCTTGCTGACCTACCGGTCTAGAAGTCTCCTGATCCAGAAATGGATATACTGGGAGAGATGGTTTGGGAGTGACTATTCTGATGACCGAGGATATCTAATCTTTCGCGGGTCAAATAGAGGTTGACCAAGTGTGTCCAGAAAGGATTAGATAGATTTGATCCGGGTACCGTATCCTCCGTCGTGGGGTCTCCCATAGTATCTTGAGGGAAAGGTGCTCCTCTAAAAGATGTCTCAGGCCAGTCCTCTTCGTCTTCTGAAGAGTGGCCAGCTTGCCATTCATCTAGGGTGTAAGTCGAAAGAGTCCTTCTCCTCTTCCGACAGAGTAGGCTGGACGGAGTGTTTCTCTTTAGCGTCTGCCTGTTTGGGGCGTTTCGCCGGTTCTTTCCCCTTGCGTTTGAGTGGTTCTGGCCCATCCCCTTTCCAATATCGTTTATTGGATTTGGAAGGGTTCCTTTTTGTGGAATCGGAATCATCCGCATCTTCATCAGAAAACGGGGGCTCAGAGATTTTAAGATCTTTGGGCTCAATGGGCAGCACCTGAGACAGGGCCTTTTCTAGTGAGGCGGCAATAGCCGCATTTATAATTGCTTGCAAGTTTTGATCTTGGTTTGAAGTCTCCATAGCAACAGTGTTGGTACCTATGGCGCAGAATAGGCCAGCATTAGGATGTATTTTAAGGCCATGTTGATATATCACAATATTTTAAAATTCCACAGTGCAAGCTGCAATTGGGGGTCACCCAGTATAAATAACCTCCGGGAGTAATTATTCAAACCCGTGTAGAGATATGGTGCCACAGGCAAAGCGGGCCAATCATGGGCTGTATAACTTAACAGCAATCATGAACCATATTTAGGGATTTACCCTTAAAAACTCACAGTATTAGTGTGATAAAATATTTGGCTGAATGATATTGGGGGTTTCTCCCAACATAACGGTATGGAAGTAGAGTAATATGAATTCAATAATATGATTTGGTCAATGTAGTATTTTCAATTCACCACCAGGGGGAGTTAGTATTTGCCATAACCCTCATGGAACTGATATTACAGTGTGAAACATCCCTATGGTGAGTAGAGAAGTAAAGTCTACTCTGTGAGGGAAGATTTTCCTGGGGGAACTTAAACCAACATGAGGTATGAACAAGAGCATAAAACGAGGAGTTTTATTATTTATTATTTATTTATTTGTTTTTGTAAAGTGTAATACTTCCGCGATGAGCGATAAAATGGCTGCCGTGCGGCTAGAATGGGCGCAGATCGCGGCTCCAAGAAAATGGCCGCCGCGATCTTGCGCATGCGCACTAGAGGGAGAAATGGCCGTCCAAGATGGCCGCCGTGCACACTCCGGGCTGTTGGAGGCGTTCTCCACGGCCCAGAAAGCCCAGGAAAAACGGGGCAGAGTATGCCGACCGCAATCCGGACTAAATAAGTTAGAAAATAAATAAACAGAAAATAAACGTAACTGGCAAGAATGACAGTTCTAAAGAAGCTAATAGGAAAAAATGAGACAGTAAATAGATATGGAGAAAATAAGTTGAGAGGAAAATTTAGCATGATTAAATAAGGTAGCTAAAACTCCTTAGGTATAAGATACAAAGATAATATCAATAAAATATGAGAGAAACAGATAAGAAGATAAATGCATAAACCACAGAAACCGACAGAAAGTAGGAGACAGTGGCACTCTGACCTGTACTGGTGTGAAGCAGCAAAGAAAGAGGAAGTGACATCACGGGGAGGGACTTTTATACCTTGTTATATTTTTTCTGATTGGTTACCCCATTACTATGTTAAAAAAGTGCTGCTGTGAAGCTTAAGTAAAGAAAGTCTTCAGCAAAATACAAAGCCTCCTGTCATGTCATAAAATTGAACGCTACAGCTTTAAGGCCCATTTCCCATACATCTTTACTGCAAGCCTCTACAATTTAACGCTACAGCTTTAAGGCCCATTTCCTATTACATCTTTACTACAAGCCTCTACAATTCTAATCAGTTCAACCCACCCACTCGCCCACCCAGGTGCCCCCTAAATGTATAGCATGGTCCTCCAGCTGTTTAAAATTCTCTCTCATTTATCTCTTCACTCTACCAATAGCTGCAACTCTCTGTTTACTTATTTAGCCATCACTTCCAAATTTCCCCTGCTACCTCGTCTCAAATTCTCATGGTATCCTTTAGATTGTAAGCTCATGGGCTATCTAGCTATGCACTTTGTATAAAAGAGCTAAAGTGGCTAGATCTCAGCTTATGGGCAGGGCTCTATCTACCTTTTGTATTTGTCTGTATATATTGTATGTTTTCCACTAATTGTACAGTGCTGCAGGATCTTTTGGCGCTTTATAAATACCATAATAATCGTTATAATCATCAGATGGAGCTGAACACAATATGGGGTTCTGTGCAGGAATAGCACACACCAGCTTTACAAAATACACATTACAAAAACCTTGTTATATGTGTATATGCGAAAATAGAGAAAAAAACACTATTTTACTCCAATATTTAGCAGAGATTGGCGATGAAAAGGCTACGTAAAAAGTGCCAATATAACCTTAGGTAAATAGCCTGTGATGTCTACTTTATATAAATATATACTTTTGTGTGGCAATTTTTCTTTTCTGTGATGGCTACTAAACCTACAAGACAAACATACCAACTTCTAAAATTGTTGCACATTGAAATTTTATTTTAGTCCTTTTATTTTGTGACCTGTAATTTTCAAAAGAAGTTGAAATCCTATACATATTATGTACTCTATAAATCAAGAGACATTAATGAATTTATTTTGAATTACCTTTTCTAAGCTGGACATATTATGCACACGCTATTATTGCCAAAACTGTGAAAAAATGCCCCCCCCCCCTATTTTTTTTGCATGTGTTTTATAATTAATAAGAATTTATCTATGTCTATGTGACATCAAATTAATGCCCCTTTTGCCCTCTAAAAAACAGTATATAATATGTGTTGGTGCAATAAACATGACAGAGATGCAAATTGCGTTTGAACATATTCGTTTCCCTGGCACTGCAGGACCCTCTAGTGCCCCTCTACCTCCCACCCTCATATCCCAAGTTGCTGAAGGAGTTAAAACTCCTTCAGTGACTTACCAGAGTCCAGCGCCGACGTCCTTCTCCGCTGACATCAGCCGGTGGGGGAGACCTAATGCGCATGTGCGGCCATTGGCGGGGGAGACCTAATGCGCATGCGTGGCAATGGCCGCGCACATGCATTAGACCTCCCCATAGGAAAGCATTGAATAATGCTTTCAATGCTTTCCTATAGGGATTTCAGCGACACTGGAGGTGCTCACATGGCATGAGGACGTCCAGCGTTGTTTTAAACCACTTTTCATGTTCTCTGAAGTCTCTACGGAAGTCTCCTCTAGTGACTGTCTACTAGACAGCCACTAGAGGAGGACTTAACCCGTCAATGTAAATATTTCAGTTTATGAAAACTGCAAAAATTACACTTGCAGGGTTAAGGGTAGTGGGAGTTGGCACCCAGACCACTCCAATGGGCAGAAGTGGTCTGGGTGCCCAGAGTGTCCCTTTAAGGGTAAGTCTAGTTTTTGAAGCCGTGTCCCAAAGGAGTTAAACAAGTCTGATTCACCTATAACACTGTGACACCTTCCTGTAGCTGATATACATTATTCTAAATATTACTATGTAATTGTAGATTATCCTAACGTAGTGTACCTATAATCTTAATTTTAGTAATGACACAAGGTAAATATTTTGTGTAACTTTCTTTACTCTAAATCACATCAGCACAGATCAATCATAAAGTTTAAACCAATCAGAACAAAGAATATAACATATATAAAGCCTTGTAGCCTTGACTCTTCTTCTTGCTTTGGTGAAAGAGATAACAGTTCGACAACTAGGAACAGATACTCGTAAATTTGAGATTTAGAACTAAGTCAATGGACTCCTCCAATAGAACGAAGTTGAAGCATAAGGAACAGCCTAATGTTTTCACACTGAAAATAACAGAAACAAATGAAAGTCAAGGGTAATCGCATCTTGTCAAAATAAACTAAAGCATTTAATATGGCAAAATTGTAACATCATGAAGAACAATAATATAATATATAGCAAATTAACTGAGGCAATATAGCCCATAAACAAAACAACCATTATAAATGCACATCCCATGAAAGGACATGATTCATATTGCAGTGACAGTGCTAATGGGGGTGGAAAATAGTGAGGGAAAATATTCCCCTCCTGTAATTACTAAAATTAAGATTAAAGGTACACTACGTTACCATAATCAATAATTTTACCACATGACAGGTTTCATATTTTGCTTTTTTAACACTAAGGAAGTAAAGCAAAAGAAGTGTGAGAAGTATGTCGAAAGTAAAAGATCCAAAAAGTATCTTTGCATGACCAATCCGTGGAACGCATGATGTCGGCCAGAGAGGAAAAAACGGCAAAGCTACCGCGCACTTTATAGAATGCGCCCAGAAGCAAGACTCAATCCCGCTAACAATAGAAGTCTCCAAACCCATCTCCCAAGGGGCGTAAGAGAGACATGGCTGTACATACGAAATGAGTAGTTGACCGGTCGGGGCATGACGCAGTGGTGTGTTCAGGACCAGTGGGCCTGGTGCTGACGATTATGATGGGCCTAATTACAGAATCTTATCGACCAAAAACACTTAAACACTCCCAAGCATCATGTACCTTAACTAATTTAATTGTCAGCCAGTCCACACAAGTTTTGTTCCCATACATCCCTCTTAAGTTTCCATACTTAAGTAAGAGTATGTGAAAAGTAGTTAGGGTTGCCACCTTTCTTGAAAAAACATACCGGCCTTACTAATTTGCATAATTATTATGTATGGGTGACATCACATGATGTAAATCACAAGAAGTGACATAAGAGAAAATGCTGTAAAATCACCAAAAAAAAACCTACTTAAAGTTTGATACTGCTGTATAGATGGATTGCTCCCAGTGTCTCCCTGTCCCCAAGTGTCTCAAGTCTCCCACTGTCTCAGTGCCTCCCAGTGACCCCATGTTGCTCAGTGTCCCCTAGTCTCTCAGTGCCCTCATGACGACTCAGTGTCCCCATGTATTGATTACCCCAGGTTTGTGTCCCTATGTATCACAGTGTCCCTATATATCACAGTGTCTCAATGCCCCATGTCTTCCAGTGTCCTCTTGTGTCTCCATGTTGTCCAGTGTCCCCATGTCTCCCTGTGTCCCCCAGTGTTCCTATGTCTCCCAGTGTCCCCTAGTGCCTGTGTCCCCATGTCTTCCAGGGTCACCATGTCACTAAGAACACTGAGAGACATGGGGACACTGTGAGGCATGGGGAGACTGAGACAGGGGACATTGGGAGACATGTGGACATTGAGACACTTGGGGCACTGGGAGACTAGGGGACACTTGAAGACATGGGGACACTGAGACACTTGGGGTTTCACATACTGAAACTCCTAAACACCGCTGTACTTCCAGGATCACCTGCGTTCGGTTCTACACAACTTAGAAGGGCACTGTTTGGTGGAAACGTTCCCACGAACAAGGTGAACAAGCTCCAGGGTAAGAACATTGTCTATGTTCGGTAGTTTCTTCAGTTTTTAAACTACTGAACAAGATTCTCTGGAACTGTTTTGGGCATGGGACCATGCGTGCAGTCGGTCAAATTATGACTTCCAAGAAATTACTGAACCCCTGAACCTATCTGGGTGATTTTTTAATATGTTGGTCACCCAGATCGGGGCTATCAGGGAATGTAACCTTTGTTGGGATTTTGTGTTTAAAGGCATTTTTGGGATTTTGTAAAAATGTATGTTTTCTGTGCCTGGAGATAATTGAGTTTAATACAGTGATGACGTAATTATCTCCCAAGCACAGGGGAGGGATTGACCTATTTTGTATGGGAGTGTCCTGGATCTGAGAGCCAATGTAATCGTGTGTATGTTTGTACTGTAGTCTATGCTCAGGTACAGGGGGGAGTGCCTTGTGCATGGGGACCTGCATATAAGGCCAGTTGTGGCTGCTATTAAACAGATTAGTTTTACCTTTCATGAAGTCAAGGCTCATGTTTGGGGGATCTATATTCACTCTGGGGATTGCTATAATCACTATATTACCTTGAATTACAACGATTGCCCTTGTAAGAGGAGCCTGCTTTGCTCTCTGGACTAGGAGAGGTTTACCCACTGGAAGCTGGAACCTGGTCTTGGGTCCAGGGTGGGTGAAGGACAGCGAGACCCCAACCAAGCTTCAGCGATTTGTGGGGTTTACGGTGGTTATGGTATCCGGTGCGGTGCTTTTGGTACTCAGGATTAATAGGAAGCAGCGATTGACAGAGGTACCCAGTTGGGGTGCCAGGCGGTCTGCCACATAGTCAGTCCTGAAGGAAATTAAGGACCATGTCTACGTCCCAAAGACGAGAATATTGACGATAACTGAATACCCAGAAGAAGTTGATAAATAAGTGGGTATGAATGACCTGAAGAGTATTGCTGAGATAGGAAGTTCAGTAAGACTGGAAGACATGCATTAAAGGGATTGGAATTCCTCTCCACACACCAGCTAGTCCACTTTATCCAGGCAGCGACGTAACTCTGTCTAGTCCTGAGAGTCCATGAGTCCCATAACAGTTCATTAGAGGCTTGTGATAAGCCATCAACATTCCAAGTTCCCCGAAAATCCTTACAGGCCACGAGTTCCAGTTGGTCCTGTAGTATGAGGGAATGTGGTTTCCCTCTAGGATTGGATAGTAGGAGGGAAACGTTGAAAGGAGGAGAGGGTCGTCGTAGGACAATTCAAACAGATCTGGGAACCACGCTTGACTTGGCACAGCCAAAATGTTGTCCATGCGGAGCAATATGCAACAGTTGGACATGTGTCTTGCCAGACTGCGAATAGTGAATAAGGAGCTCCGTTTGCACTTTGTGATTGAGAGGTATCAGGTGGTCGTATGAGAATCCTGCCTGTAGATAGTGTGCATTGCGTAGTTGCATGGCTCTGTAGTGCAGAGGGCTGGGGTAAATCGTTATTCCATTTTTAATAAAACCCTAGTGGTGAAACGCGTTAATGGTTTTAAATATTGTGTATTTTATATAATAAATGATTTTTGGCTAGATTCCTGCGCCATTATCTTTTTATACACTATTTTACTTTCCTGGCATTTTATTCATCTTCTAATACCTATCCTGAGGTGGGGATTATACCACCAACGCTACTACCAGAGTGCAGTGACGTCTGCACTCCATTTGTGAGTATATTTTATTTTATTTTTATCAACTATCACATTATATCATCAAAGAGCACTATTTGCTGTTTTTATCTTCCTCTTCCCCTGAGTGTCGGACATCATTATCCTTTGGAGGACAAGCATCGACATATCCTATAAGCGGGGATTATTCCGCTGTATGCCTGTTACACCTGAGCTGGCCATAGCTCATTCGAATGTGAGTGTTTCATTCATATTTTAATTCATTTTACATTCACCTTATACACTCTGCACGATTGGTCCTCTCTTCTTGTGTCTTCCATATCACGAGACGATTTGAACTACTAGAAATATAGAAGACACTTTACCAGCGAATACAGTGACCAAGTCAACTGGACTTCTGTCATTCCATTGGGACTATTAATATTTATTTCTATTTTATTTTTTATCTTTTATTGTAATTTTTATACTTTTATTATCTTTTTGGCGCAGCCTTTCTTTCTTCCTGTTACACATTTCTAACATAGAGGGTTAGAGGGTTACCCTCTGTAAGGTCGCTTCCTATTTATTGTATTATTAGCGCTAACCTACTCCTTTTATCTCTTCTGGGGTAAATCGCTTGGATTGAAGCAGATAGAAGGCTCACCACTTGGGCGAGTAGTCGGAGCGGGACGTGGTAAGTCTTCAGAATCTCCTTCCAAATGGCTACGTTCTTTGTGATAGGCAGGCATAGGACATAATGAAGTCTGTCTTGAATCCCAGAAATTGAATGACTTGTGAGGGAGTTAGGGAGTTAGACTCGAGAAAGTCTATGACAAAATTCATCTGAGAGGTGAGATGAGAAGCCTAGTTGCAGAAGAGTAGTAAAGCGTCCAGGTATGTTAGGCACCGAATGCCCAGATATTGTAGACGTGCCATTATCGGCTTTGGGAGTTTCGTGAAACATCATGGAGCCAAACTGAGTCTGAAGGAGAGGCAGGCAAATTGGCACGAGAGGCCCTTCCACAGGAAGCCTAGGAATTTCCAACAGGGGGGAGCAACCGACACTGACAGGTATGTGACCGTCAAGTCGAGTGAACCAATCGTCTTGAAGGAGTAAATCGTGTAACAGATGAATATCTTCTATCTTGAAATGTCGGTGCACCTTTGAGTTGTCGCACGTTGATGACTGGGTGGAAATCCCTGTCTTCTTCTGAACCAGGAAGATGTGGCTGAAGAAACCGCCATCATCCGGTGTGTATTGTACAGAGCCTTTTGGAGAACAGCGTCTGAATTTCCTCGTTGATAAAGGCCTTGTGTTCCTTGGACACTCGCAGTGATGGTGGTGGGTGTTGTTGATGTGGAGCTGAGGTGAATTCGACGACATAACCCCGCACCGTTTATATAATTCAAGCATCCAAGGAATTATCTTCCTACTTCTGCAAGAAAAGGGACAGTCTGCCTGCAGTGAACATATCGCAATGGTAACTTTGATTGGGACCCACCTCTGGGAAAGCGTCCACGACCTATGCCACGGGAACCTCTCGGCTTGTCCGTTCTTCTGTAGGAGGGTGTATACCAATACGTGTAATTCTGGAAGATGGATAGTGGTGTGTAAGGCCTGGGCCCGGAGGCCCAGAATCTGCTGGTGACTCAGCCTCTCTACCGACAAGCCCTTCCAAAAATACCTCTAGATGGAGTTGTGTGGAATACCTGCCCTATAGAGGTTTGGGCTTTATTCATGGTAGTAAATAGTGAAATATGTTTTTTTAATTCATGAATGAACGAGTCGCGAAATAGGAGGCCGTTGGCTGATGGTCCGAGATCCTTATTGACAATATTTATTAACTTGGCGTCAATCCGTAGAAGTGCAGCCCTGCACCTGGTGGCGTTAGTATTACAAGGTAGGCAAATACTGCGCTGTGGCTATTCACGTATAGCGTGTGGATCAAGTTGGGAGCATTGCGAGAGAGCCATGTCCTCAAAGTATAAAATCTTCGTCAACAGGCCCAGGAGGTCAAGCAATTTATTCTGGGTAGGCTTCAACCCCTTCTCCACACCTTTGCGGAGGTCCTGACTTGTCCACGATATGAACTTCACCACTGTCTGGTCAAATTCTGGTGTGACTGCCATTTTTTCGGATAGGGAAGGTCGGGGGCATTCCGTCTGTAGTCTGGCTCTGACTTCCCAGTCTATGCGTCTATGGGTGTGTGGATCTAGAAGTGGACAAACTTGGCCAGATGGGGTGGCAGGCTTCACTCCGAGGATCTCGGGTGTCTTATGGATCTCGGGTTGAATAGGAGGTATCCCTGAGTGTCTAGGAATAGCCCATCCGCCTCCTAGGAGGTATGGATCTGGGAATCCTCCTGAGTATAGCAGTTGTCAGCAAATGATTCCTTGACATATTTAGATCCCAGGCCTGGCAAATCTAGTCAGTCATTATCACCCCTGACGCAGAGTCGTCCACGCGTCATTCATCAAGGATGTCTAAAGTGGCAGTAGGGTAGCCATGTTCCTCTTCAAAAGATAGTGTAGGTGGAGATGCTTCCACCACTAGACGTTTGGGGTGCTTAGCCACCGCCTTATCTGTGGCATTTAGTGAGGGCCGGGATGTCTCTGATGGACACTTTCAAGCCCACAATGTTGTCTTCACCCGATGGTGCCAGGCCCATAGCTTGAGTGCATATCTCAGGATGAGGTTGAGTGAGGATCTTGGTCAGGGACTGAAACCCTGAAGTTTATGGGGAGGCAATAAAAGAATCCAGTAGCAAAGGGATAACCCTATGAACCCAGGATGACTTGGGAGGTACTAAGTGTAGCTGGATCTCAGTCCACTATTTTTCATGTAATGTGGGGCAATCCCTTGGTGAGGGTTAATGTTACCTATATTGGGGTGTACCCTAGTGAATTAGGTTGTAGACCAGCCAGAGAGTATATGTGGGGCACCCAAATAGTACTGCATGCAGCTGTGATAAAAAGTCTGCACCATCAGGCAGCAGGCATATAAATCGATACTTGTCATGTCATATAATCCTCACTACCACATAGCAATAACAATAGTAACACATGAGCCACGTATAATAACTAGAAAGCATCTTTGCAATCCATGTTTATGGCAGAGAGATGCAGGACGCAGAGAGTCCCTATGGGTAAGGAGGGGTCCAGAGAGGCAGGGAGCAGTGTGATGATCGCGAGCAGGCTGCGTTCTGAAATACAAAGAAAATGGTTGTTGCGAATCTCGAAAGAAATGAGATCCAAGATGGCTGCCATGTGCGAGGACCCATCAGGAACAACTTCCACATGCGAGCGGCAGGAAAAGAACGTGAGGTGCCCTGGCAACCTAACTGTGACAGAACCATTCGTCTGACTATTGTGGTGGATTCGTCTGTTTCCTGCACTTTCGTGTAAATGGCTGTTTCCTATAGCCCAGCCAAACGAATGACGTTTTTTTCCCGAACAAAACTACCGAACAGATGGCCACCCAGGAGAGAGGTGTGCTGCTGGTTAACCTATTGATCCCAATTAGAACGTTGTGGTTAACCGCAGACACTTCTCAATTAAACCGAATTCAGGGTGGTCGTCGTTCATATGTCGACCGCGAGGCAGCAGCCATTTTAAAACACACGAAAGCCCAGCGGTGTTCGGCTCTATTTTCATGGAACTAAAAACAGACACTTTTTCTGCCGAACACCGCTGAAACAACGGGACGCCTGGCTGCCTGGCTGCCTCTACGAAAACGTACGAAGACCGGCCGTTCGGGAGTTTTACAGCACATGAACAGACTTAACCCAAATAGCCTTCCCATGGAGTCATTCGCATACCGAAAGACTGTAAGAACTTTGACTCCATGGCGATTGAACTATGTGTGTGGGATCTGAGCGCTATTCGCCAATAATATGCACTCAGATCCAGGCTATCTGGGGATATGTGATGTGAATAAGAAATGTTCGGCTATTTTCAAATTATGTATTTTTATGTGTTTTCTGGTTTTATATCTAATTTGTCTTTGTCCTGGAGATAATTGAATTACTTCTCAATTATCTCCAGGGCAGAGGGGAGGAGACCATATTGCATTGTGGGAAAAACCTGTAACTGTATGTCTGAAATGTCCCCATGTCCATCTGTAATTCCAGTCTCACATTTGGTCCCCTAGGGGAGTGTCCACCAAGTGGGAGACCTGCATAAATACGGGCAGGTAGCCCACAGTAAACCCAGATCCTGTTTGACCCTCAATGCAGACTTCTGTCTCGTTATTGGGGGGATTTCTTCTTTGCGCTTAGAGACTGCTGATTGGAATCGAAAGCCGCTTGGTGGATATCATTGTTCGGTGGCTAGCAGCAGTTCGTGGATTTCCGTTCGGGAGTTTGGAGCCTTTCACGGATCCCGGTCGGGAGATTACCGCTTCCCCTGGTTATGGTTCATGTATTACAATTGATGCGAATGGATTACTGATATTGCGAAAGGGGAAGGTGAACTAAACGGCGGTTTCTCTTAAAGACACTAGGGGTGTCTTAACACTAACTACCCCAGACCTGGCCAAAACAGAGAAGGGAAACAAGCACGGAGTTTCTGCCATTCGCAGCACAAAACAGAGCAGAACAGAATGCAGCTTACCACAGTGTAGTAACAGTATTTGGCAAAAACAGGAATAATAGGTTGCGCTACATAAATAACAAATGGAAAGGGATAAATATGTCAAACACTTTAAAACATAAATAAGGAGAAATATATAAAAAAAAGGATTTAATAAATATATAAAAGATATATATAAAAAGAATGATAGTCCAAATTCTTGATATACTTTTGATAAGTTCAAATAAGTGAATAATAGTAACAAAACTTGGTATATTTCTCTTTCAGGTTCCGGTAAGTATTTGGGGGTAGAGAGTCCAATAAGAGACTGGATCTTCTAGTCTTTAGAAGAGTCTTGATTCGGAGGTGAACATGGAAAATATAAACAACAAAGACGATCCAATAGTGTAGACTGTCTGTTGTAAAAAATAATAATAATAGGTAGGTAATACACTCACCTATCTTAGAGCATAGACTCGCTCTAGTATGTTGGGCGTTCAGTGGCATTTATCCCCCACTGGTAGGATATAGGTGAAGGTAATTCCTCGGTTATAGAAAGGAGATAAAAGCAGAATATAGTGCTCACTGAATATAAATGAAATAAAATAAAATAAAAGAATAAAAATACTCACATTCGAATGAGCAGGATAGACTGCTCAGTATATTCGCATAGGTGGTACAATCCCCACCGAGGATTCTTGGTCGTGAGTAGACTCCAAGTTAGTGAATGACCAGGTGACAGGAAGTTTTAAAAATGAAATAAAAAGGTATATGGCAAAATTGCTGTAAAGAAGCCACTATTCCTTTATTAGTACAATAAAAAATATATAAAATAGCCAAAACGCGTTTCGCCACACAGGGCTTTATCAACTGGCAATAGTAAAAATCAGCCTGGTACATAGATACTTATAAAACTTTGATAAAACATGCTTGTTCAAATTTTGGCGCCAAAATGACGTCATCAATACAATGTGTAAAAAGCAAAATCAATAAAAACATAAAAATACAAAATGCATAATATTTATAATACAATATATAAAATAATCCATGATATTTAGTAAAAAAACGAGTGTTATTTATTAAAATAAACGATAAAGTAAAAAGAGATGAGAAATCATGTGATCGCAATCTAATGCGATCACATGGTGAGCACTAAAGCAATGTGGGAAATGTAGTTACAAAAGAGGGAGCGAAAATGTATAGTCACGTGATCGTGGACCTCCGCGGTCACGTGGCTAACTGCACATATCGATATAGAGTGTAGAAGCTCAGACGGAGGTCGGCAACCTGCGGCACGCCTCCGTCTGACGTCAGTAGTGGGGGCGGTATATACCGCAAGTGCTCGTGGGGTATGTGGTGTTCAGACGGAGGCCGGCAACAAAGGGCACGCCTCCGTCTAACATCAGCAAATGGGGCGGCGCCTAATGCCGATCATAATGAACCTTTTAATACCACAAAAATAAGTGGCATGACAGCCAATTTTAAAGCAAATATGAAGATGTTAAATAAAAAGAAAGGAAAAAAGTAAGAAAAAAAGGGGAAGAAAAATAATAATAATAAAAGAGCTAAGTCACCACCCAATTATATTCAAACAATAGATATCAATTATTATCTATTGATTCAGAGATTGAAGAGAATTTTTTAGACATCCGCACACAGAACCTACCCCATACACAAACCCCATACTTACCCAGAACAAGGAAAAGAAGTCTAAGTATAGAGGAAGGAGAGGAGGTAGAAGATTACAAAAGAGAAAGGAAGGAGAGACCACAACAAATATAGATGAGAAAAAATTAGGCATTTTTAATCTTTCACATAAAGTTTTAACATCTACCCAGATTTTAGTTTTAAGCAAAGGTCTTAAATATGCTCCTACAAATCCGTTTAAACCTTTCCAAGCATTTTTGGATATCAATAAGTTTGTGAGAAAGGCAACAATAAAAAGATTCTTTGCCCAAACTAGCAATACCCTCACAGAATCAAGCTCAGCACTACAAATCCCTGATTCTGACATAACCACTGAACGTCTTACTACACACACTCCTTTAAAAAATCCCTCTAGATTTTATCCTTCCAATTTCAAATCAGGCTC